CAAAAAGCTTTCTTGAGAGAAGCAAAGTAAAGCAATCCCATTAAAGCCATTTCTTAACTTTTCCCAGAATGAAGGTTTTTAATCTCAACTCAATAGTCACAAAGGAGTTAGGGGTGAGGAAGGAGTGCTAGTGGGAATTCTGGCTAAAGGGGAGCCTCATTCCATGTTTCCCAGTTCACACTTACCTCCCAGAAAGAGGTAGCTACGACGCCTGGCATAGACTGCACTCAGGGTAAAGCAGGTGAAGATCATTGCTGTGCCCATGAAAGCGGTGGGAAGGATGCTGTTAGAGGAAAAAGACCATTAGATTAATGGTATACAGATATATGGGCTATCTGTAGACAGGTATACAGTCTACATTTAGAAGGTATATTCATAAAGATAAAAGCACATAAAACACTACCAAAAGAGTTACCTGGGGTTGATGGCAATGCAAAACTCCAGGGCAGGGCCCAGGCCAACTCCTAGAAAACAAAAAACCCAGAACACAGTATTACCATCAATTCTTGAATAGGATCCTCATCCAAAAGCTGATCCCAAAGTATAGGCATACTCATGCTCTTAACAAACGTGGACTAAAGAATTAAATCTCTCTCCCCTCTGCCGTTAATTGTTTTCAATAAAATGTATGTTTGACTGCATTATTTTTTTTTAGATGTAGCTGCAAAACTGTCCTCTTAGCTGAAAATCATGGATGACCCCAGGGAGGGAACAGAAATTAGAAGAAAATACAGGCATGTCAAACATTTCAGAGCTAGAGTGATGTGAGATGGTGATATAGGCCAGATCAGGAATGAACAGAAAAAAAGGATAAAGAGCAAAACACTGCCTCGTGGCCAGCAACCCTGTAGTCATGCAGGACTGACTCCCCTTTGTAGCAAAGAAAAGCCAGACTGGTTCTGCAGGTGGATACCCGCCAATGGGAGGGCAACGAACGTGTTCCAGCTCCAACATTTCTTTCATTCTAGTTACTTTCCTCTTTCCTTCTGATAATTCCAGCCCTTAATGCCTTCAAAAACTAGCTTGCCCTGACCCAAAAACCTTAATCCCTAAATCTCTTCCTTTCTAAAATTTCTCCAACACTGTATAGATTAGATTGTCACTCAGGACAAGCTGTTCTAATTCAAATGTTGTTTTGCAAATATTTTTATTATATAGCTTGAGTCTTGTTTCCTTTATGACAATTCTAGAAGAGATGTGCTTTTAATTCCTTTCTTGAAAATCAGCAAAGTGTCCACAATGGATCTCAATGTATAGCTCTAATGCACTGTCTGTTAAGACTCAGAACAGAACCTCCTATGATAGTTGTCACTGTGGGTCCAACTAAGTCAGATTTTCAGGTCTAATTTATTAATAGTTCATGCCTACTATTAACAAGTTATGTTACCTAAGTTCTTAAACCTCATCTGTTCAAGTACACAATGCCTACTTTTTTTGGACACAAAAATACAGTCACAATGGCTACTCAGAAAGAGTTTTCCCTGTGGATGGGGAAACAAGATTAACCTATATGAAATTAGAAAGCAGGCCAGGAGGCCAGGCACGGTGGCTTACACCTGTAATCCCAGCATTTTGGGAGGCTGAGGTGAGTGGATCAGGAGGTCAAGAGCTAGAGACCATCCTGGCAAACATGGTGAAACCCCGTCTCTACTAAAAATACACAACTTAGCCGGGCATGGTGCTGCATGCCTGTAATCCCAGCTACTCGGAAGGCTGAGGCAGGATAATCGCTTGAACCTGGGAGGCGGAGGTTGCAATAAGCCGAGATCATGCCACTGCACTCTCTAGCATGGGTGACAGAGCGAGACTCTGTCTCGAAAATAAGAAGGAAAAAAAAAAAGGACTAACTAAGAGATACTGAAAATATAGTTCACCCCTCAAAATTAGACAAATCCCTTAATGTACCTGTAAGGAAAGCAAATCCAGCAAGAAGTCCCAGTCTTTTCTGCTCAGTTTCATGGCTATGAGGTGTTGCCATCAGCCAAATCATCAATATCAGGGAGCCCAAAGCAGACAGCAGGCCAGCCTGTCAGTCATAATCAGTCAATAATTAAACATTTGAAAGTTTCAAATTTATTTTGCAAATGACCTTGATTGGGTTCAAATACTCATCTGAACTTCCTAACATTTGCTTCTAACCTGGAGGCAGGGGAAAAAGTAGTGTTTTCTCAGGGGTGGGGCTGAGGAGAGAACCTAGAAGCCCTGAAGCATAGTCAGGATCATGGTGGATGCTGGAGGCTCTTCTGTCTTGGGTAGTTCTTCAACTACAGAACAACTACCCAAGTCAAACTGTTAGTGAGTCTTGCCAACAAAAACAGAAAAGATGAAATCAACGTGACAAGTGTGTGAAGCACATTCCATCTGTAGAACAAATAGAAATGATCCCTTTTTGATCACTTAAAACAAACAAACAAAAAACCCAAAAACCCCAAATACCAAGACACATACATATAAAGAAGACTGTAAAGTAGCCAAAGTTTTAAGTAGTTATTTCTGGAAGTTGAGATTATGGAATTTTTTTTTTTTTTAATTTTAAATAGAGATGGGGTTTCACCATGTTGGCCAGACTGGTCTCGAACTTCTGACCTCAGGTGATCTGCCCACCTCAGCCTCCCAAAGTGCTGGGATTACAGGTGTGAGCCACCACGCCCAGCCGAGATTATGGAATTTTAAAAAATACTTCCTTCTCATTGCTAGTCTGTTTTCTGAATTTTCTAAAATGAACAAATATTAGCTTTGCAGTAAGAAAAAGTTTTTTTTTGTTTTGTTTTGTTTTTTTTTTAAATGCAAGTGGGAAAAGCTACAGGCATTAGTAAAGAGAGAAATCATTAAGGATGGATGTAGACACCAGAGTTCCTTCCTCCCTTTAAAGGAAGAAGTTGATTCTCATTTACAGTGTTTATGTTATAAAGTCACAGTGGACAATGAATTAGTAAGCCCCCTTGTTCCTGGGGGAAATACAAGGTAGGTAGGTTCCTACCAGCCTATGGTCACAATATTTGCATCAAATGATCAATACATATTTTGTTTCATGTGTGTTTCCATTTAAGGACACCTCATTTGACATTATTTTTAATTCATTAACATTGAGCTTGCAGTCACAACAGCAGTATAACTCATGCTGGAATGAAGCTTATCTAATATTTTCTTCATAAGGCACATTACGGTCTTTCTGCACTTAGGAATACTAGACAGCACTTCAGCACTATGCTGTTATGCTAAAATAGCAAAGTTAAACCAAGCATGGTGGCATGCACTTGTAATTCCAGCTACTTGGGAGGCTGAGGTGGGAGGATCACTTGAGCCCAGGAGTTTGAGAGCAGCCAGGACAACACAGCAAGATCCGCACTCAAAGAAACCAGCAAAATCACCAATAAAAATCACAAAAATGCAAAGAAAGTGGCACTAAATGACCATGAAAAGAACATTTATTTACAATATGAGAATTGAAACAAGAAGGCAGGGCACTGTTGTGTTTGACTTCAGCTCACAACATTGCACAGCAGGGTGACTCAACTTTTTCACCACTCTGTGCATGCCTGCAAAAAAGTGCCAGAGTATTTATTTTGGGGTTACAAATTTTAATGAGTAGGTGAATTCGCAAATATGTTATCTGTGAATAACAAGGATTGATTTGTATTTTACTGTGTTACTTAAGGGCTAACCTTGCCTAAAACTCAAGTGATCAAAGCCCGATCCTTTGAGTGTCTAGATAATTTTTCACACAATCCCTGCTGGGAGATGCCTGAACATAAGGATAGTTCTCAGCAGTGGCAAATGCCAACAGAGGCCCACCTCTACATACATGCTAAAAGGGATACTCCACAAAGGGACAAGACTATGTTAGTGAGTCTTCACACTTTCTGGTTATTCCTCAAACTGTACCTTCTACTGACCAAACCCAAATTCTCCCTCAACATAGGAAAAACATGTTGTTGAAGGTTTTTACCCAACAATGCGGACAACAGTTATCAGAAAATAAAATGGGTCAATTTCTTAAAGGTCTCAATCCTGCCTCTCCTGATAATTAATCATACAATCAGTGTTTTGTACGGAAGAATGGAGGAAAAGATAAAAAGCCTTCTGTACAGAAGAATCCCAGCATGCACAGCATGTGTCTACTCAGTGGGTGGGGGTCCTGTACGTCAGAAGCATACCATTCAGAGCCAAAGTTAAGATATTCTGTTTTTAGTATCTAGAGGGGGCATAGGTGCCAGAAAATTAAAATGGCTTTACATGTGCTGATTTAATGGCTGAGTTTAAATCCTTAACTACTGATAAAGATTAAAGAAAGGAACAGGGTCCTTGGACCACCTCGCTGAGCTGGTTTTTTCCTAACACAATTTGTACCACAGCAACCAGGAGAGAAAACTATTCTTACCTGAATGAAATGAGTGATCACATGGACGTAGGCCCCCGCAGCCGCCACAAACATACAAAGAGCAAAACTTGCATAGACCTTCTTCAGGTGCTGCTGCGTTGAGGGGGTTCTAAGAAAAGAATGTGAGTAAGAGCAATCACTCCCACACCAATCTCATCTTTAAGCTAAGAAGAATCATTTCTCTCTTTCCCTTCCTGGGAATATGTAAAAGTTCTGTTACAAATAGTTTAAAATACTTTCAGGAAAGCATATAATAATAAAAAAAATTATTATTATTATTTTTTGAGACAGAGTCTTGCTCTGTCACCAGGCGCCAGGCTGGAGTGCAGTGGTGCAATCTCAGCTCACTGCAACCTCCGCCTCCCAGGTTCAAGCAATTCTCCTGCCTCAGCCTCCCAGGTAGCTGGGGCTACAGGTGCACGCCCAGCTAATTTTTTTTTGTATTTTTAGTAGAGACAGGGTTTCACCATGTTGGCCAGGATGGTCTTGATCTCTTGACCTCATGATCCGCCCGCCTCGGCCTCCCAAAGTGCTGGGATTACAGGCTTGAGCCACTGCGCCCGGCCAGAAAAGAGTATTTTTAAAATAAGTTAACAGAGCCAGGTGTGGTGGCTCACGTACTGTAATCCCAGCACTTTGGGAGGCTGAGGTGGGCGGATCACCTAAGGTCGGGAGTATGAGACTAGCTTGACCAACATGGAGAAACCCCCTTCTCTACTAAAAATACAAAATTAGGTGAGCATGGTGGTACGTGGCACATGCCTGTAATCCCAGCTACTCGGGAGGCTGAGTCAGGAAAATTGCTTGAACTCGGAAGGCGGAGGTTGCAGTGAGCCGAGATTACACTCCATACTGGGCAACAGGAGTAAAAATTCCATCTCAAAAAAAAAAAAAAAAAGAAGAAAAAAATAGGTTAACAGAATTTTAACTGTTGAGTAAGACCAAAAGCCTAACATTATAAATACTCAGTAGCCAAGCTAGAATAAATGCCTTTCCAGTAACCACACAGCAACCTTTAGAATCTGGACATTTTCATCAGGTTCTCTGGATTCCGGCTCAGTTAATTTGTTAGCTTATATATACAAAAGTTATAAACAAGGAAAAGGGAAAAAGAGATATGAAAAGAAATGCAATACAAAACCAGTGAAGATCAAAACACTTACATATGAGAAAATTTTAAAAGCGCATCAAAGTTGATCTTTCGATCAAATATGTTCATGGTTCCAGAGTCTGGGCAACACAGCCTCCACTCTGTAGAATAAAGAAAGGTTAGAGTCACTAAGTCATACAATATCACACAAACAGCTTATTTTTTAAAAAAAAAAGCAACATATAAGTTCAGAAAAATAAAAACTAGCCTAAAGTTCCACAGCCCTAACACAAGCATTTTTATGTTTTCTTCTACAATATATTTGCAATCATAGTAAACCATTTTAAAGAGGACAAAAGGAATGAACCCATCCTCTTCTTCCCCAAACTATTTTGTTACTATCATTTGATTTCTATTCTTTCAGAAGGTAATTTGCCCTTTTAAAAGGCAGTTAGTTTGTAAGAGAAATCCTCAATTAACAATCTAGTTAAAGGGACCTAGACACTGGCACATAAAGCAATTTTATGTCATTGTTTCAAGATGCTGAAGAATCCCCTTGGCCAGGCATGGTGGCTCATGCCTGTAATCCCAGCACTCTGGGAGGCCGAGGCGGGCAGATCACCTGAGCTCAGGAGTTCAAGACCAGCCTGGCCAACATGGTGAAATCCTGTCTCTACTAAAAATACAAAAATTAGCCAGGCATGTTGGCGCGCTCCTATAATCCCAGCTACTTGGGAGGCTGAGACAGAAGAATTACTTGAACCTGGGATCTGGAGGTTGCAGTGTGCCGAGACTGTGCCACTGCACTCCAGCCTGGGAGACAGAATGACTCTGTCTCAGAAAAAAAAAGAATTCCCTCACTAGCGGTACCTTAGGACAAAAAATAAAACTTTGACTAGTCCTAACAAAACAAAATCTATAAAGCTGGGTCTGGCACTAAGAGTTGCATTTTAAATATATGCATATCAAAATTTCCCACCTAATACATTTTAGAACTGAACTGAAAAGAATTCACAATTTAAAAAAGAGAGGTTCCTACCTCCATAAAAAAGGAATTTATGCAGAAAGGAGGATTTTGGGGGGATATTTTTTAACAGTTTCAGAACCTTTCCTACAGAAAAGTTGGAACAGTACAAAGCATTCACCTAGATTTCCTAAATGCTAATATTTCACCACATTTGCTTCATCTTCTCTCTATATAGCAATATATAGAGACGTAAAAATATTTTTTCCCTAACCACACAGACATAGTGCTCCTAAATATTTCCGTGTGTATAACCTGAAAGCAATGATCAAAATCAGGATATTAATACTGATACCATACTGTTTCTAATCTACAGACTTTATTCAGATTTTTGCCAACTGTCCCAATGTCAAAAAGGGCATTTTTAAACTGAACTATATCCACGTTAGATCATATCAATACCATAAAATCAAGTTCTTAAGTTTTGCTCCCTCCCCGATTTCATATGCAATCCTAAATAAACATATTCAGCCTATAGTACTAAAGATTGAATCAGAACTTTCACCTTTTCTAAATATAAATCCTCCAAATTCTTATTAGGCCCACAATGCCCAACCATATTAAATCTACCAGAAAGAAGGGGCAGAGAGAAAGGGATTCAAACACAAAAGATAAGTTGTACGAAAGGCCACCTACTGAATGAAGCACTCTAATCAGCACCCAGCACAACACTAACAACTCATCTAAGTAATAAAAGTTACAGTCCCCAAACAAATTTCCTAAGGAATCCTGGGCCAGTGGAAAGATATAAGCATCATTTGCTTCCCGAGGCTCTCTCCCACAAATGAAACAATCATAATGGCTGGCTTGCCTTCTCTGATTTTTTCCTTTCCTTCTCTCATCAACATCCCTACTCACCTCAGAACTTCTGATAGTTCTGTTAAGGATGGATACAGTGAGAAGCTGCAAAACCTACTAAGGTTGCTGCTCTCTCCTCTGAGTCACACGGATCTGGGCCCTCCTGACCTAGATGGTGCAATTATTGCAGGTTGTTGCAAGGCCAACCACAGCCTTCCATAACCAAGATGAATATGAATACATCCTCTAGAGAGCACACTTACAGCATGGCAGAATCCAGCACCTGGAAAGTGTCTTTGTTTAAGCCTTCCATTAACACCCGTAATGACATCCCTAGACAGCACTTGCAACAATACTGAAGCAACCTTCAGAGCCACATTTCTCAGTATTCACAACAGCAACGCTAAAGAACCTCTTGCTTCCAATTACAAGAATTAAAGAAGGGTCGGAGTGGATCCTCAAACACCCAGGGGATTCTAAGAAAGGGGCAATGCTCATGTAACAAGACTCTGCTCAGTGTAATCAGTTCAAGGGGAGAATGGCAGATCCCCCTTTCTCAGTTACCTCCTTGACATATCCCAGGGGGTACTTACTGACTGCCTCTTTCTGGTTCTCTATTAACAACTATTGATGGAAAAACCAAAACCATCAAAGGCTATGTGGGTTGGGGGAGAGATGTCAAATAGCAATTTAACTTTATTAGAAGCTTATGGTTTGAAAGCATTAAAAAATAACTAAAACTTCTGTTTTTCAATATCGCTATTTCACAATTTAAGTGAAATATGTAACTACCAAATATTACAGATGCAAAAGTGCAATTTTAATAGCTTTATGGGGAAAAAAATAAACCTGGTAAAGTACAGATGGTCCCTGACTTACCAAGGTTGACCTATCAGTGGGAGCAATTGATACCCATTCAGCACACTCCTTGATTTGCAATGGGTTACATCTGGATATACCCATTGTAAATAGAAAATACCGTTAAGTCAAAAATGACTTACAGGTTGGACGCAGTGGCTTCTGTCTATAATCCCAGTACTCTGGGAGGCCAAGGCAGGTGGATCACCTGAGGTCAGATTGAGATCAGCCTGGCCAACGTGGCGAAACCCCATCTCTACTAAAAACACAAAAATTAGCTGGGTGTAGTGGCACGAGCCTGTAGTTGCAGCTACTTGGGAGGCTGAGGCAGGAGAATCACTTTAATCTGGAAGGTGGAGGTTGCAGTGAGCTGAGATCACGCCACTGTACACCAGCCTGGGCGACAGAGTGAGACTCCATTTCAAAAAACAAACAAAAATGACTTACAAAAAGAAAAGGACTTACATCTTTTGACTTACAATATTTCAACATTTTCAACTTAGGTTTTTTTTTTTCCAAATGCAGCCCGTCTTAAGTTGAAGAGCATCTGTATACATTTAATGTATATGACACAATGTACAAATGACAATTTATTTCAGAAATGTTAAAATGTGAGAGGGAATATGTAGGTCTTAGCATCAAGGAAGTATGATGGTTTGCCCTAGATCTGTTCCAAATAGACAAGAACTAATATACAGAGAAGTAATGAGATAAAACTATTCTGACAAATTTTGCCAGATAGGATAAACTTACCAAGTTTCAATCTTAGCTTCAACTAGTTAAGCTCAGAAAAGATACCTACATTTCAATGGCCAATAAGCAAACTCAGCCAAACAAGATTAAGCTGCACACATAACTCAAAAATAGCAGCTCTCATATCAAGTATTTTCCATCCTAGGAGCAGTCAGCTCTTAACAGAGCTTGAAGTATTACATTCAATACCATTAACCAGGTAACTCAGCTAACATTCCAGAGGAACCCACAATTAAATGAAAATCTTTGTTTTAAAAAAACACATTAAAATATGTTATTTTATTTTACCAAATAATTTTATTTTACCAAAATAAAGAAAAAAAGTACATTACGAGTTGCTAAAAAATTCAATACAGCAGTCCCATCACACCTCTAAGCCTCTTACAATTCAACTCTAAAACAGAGGAGGGGTTATTTAAATAGAATACAATGTGGATAGTGCCTCCAGGAGTTGTGCGAAACTGCGTATACAGCATTTGTAAATGAGAAGTAAACGCTCAGGTGTTAATCATAGCCAAATTCCTCTAATTTCATTCAGAGCCTTGTGTTAAGCCTTCATAAACTTTCATCCTGAGAGGAAAACCTGTCAGAAGGTGTCAACATGTCATGCAAATACCAGTAAAGTTTTGCATTCTGTGGTACCACTGACCAGCCTCCTCTGCCAGAGCCATGCAAAAACAAAAAGCTAAGAGCTTAATAAACAGCTTTCCCAAGAAAAAAATTCAAGTAAACAAATTGTTTTGAATTAGATATTCCTGCGGTCTGCTTTTGCTTGGGAAGGGAGAGACAGCAGGGGCTGGCAGAAGACAGATATTCTTAGTAGTAGACATCTAGGTCATGTTAAATCCCTTGTTATTTTGTTCCAGGTATCTCCCTTATCTTTCTCCTAAAATGAAAGACTATCATCAAGGGTCGAGCCTTAAATTAAAAAAATATATATCTTCAATACTATTCCCACACACCTAGGAACTACGGTAAATATGAAACATGCTGAAGTAGCCAAAAGCTATGCAAAACCAAACTATCATGGATGTGCAATGATGGAGCCAGGACAGACGTTACCTCAGTGCGTACATTAAAACAGCAAATCAGCCGGGCGCGGTGGCTCAAGCCTGTAATCCCAGCACTTTGGGAGGCCGAGGCGGGTGGATCACAAGGTCAAGAGATCGAGACCATCCTGGTCAACATGGTGAAACCCCGTCTCTACC